ACATATATATACAGTGTATATACACACATAATTATGTGTTTATATGATTGAATTTTTTAAATTTCAATTTGTTTTTTATTTGCAGCTGAAAACATTCTGCCTGCTGCATATGCCACCTGTGCATGGTGGATGCTGAACTTCCCAGTGTGCCTAACAGAGCTCATAATGTGGATGTGGGCACAGTACATTGGAAAGCAGCCTACGTGGTTTCTGATTTTTGCAGTTTGGGTCTCAGACCCAAATCCCAAGTACATGTTAGAATGAGCTTGGCCCAACCATAACTTCAAGTTCAGTGAAAGTGAGAAATCAAATCCTCCAGCTAGGCTGAATTTTTGTCTCTTTAAGGATATGCATAGAGACATAGAAACACACAAGACATTTATTTACCTCCTACATTCTTTTGGTGAAGATTAATTTTACCAAGTGAAGCACATGGCAGTACCATCAGCTCCACACTGGCTGTGAGGCCCAATCTTCTCCCCTGTCTCAGAAGACAGGCAGGCACATTCACTTTGGTTTCTCTTCTTTGTCCTTGATGGACAGCTATGTGGGCTTATCAATGAATTATGTCACTGGTTAAGTTTCCAAGGACAAAATTCCAAATAGATTGTGTGACCAGGTTCTTTACTTACTCTCCAGTAATGTGACAAGGTGGGTTGAACCTGGCATTATGGTATGAGTTGAAGCTTTATCTATCAGGAATGAAATGACAGGTACTCAATAATTGCCTGTTGTTTTGGAGGTGCAAAATGCATGAAATGCCAGAAAGCTATAAAAGGGTTTTCCTATTTTCTGCTCTTCTGTGTATAAATTTCATACTACGGAGTACCATATTTTCAGGAAGAAAAAAAAAGTTTTATTTCCTTTTCTTTCCCTGGTTGCACTTAATTTTATTCTTTATATGGATAGACTGTGCACAGGGGTCATTTTAAATGATAGTGCAGTGTCCATCTTTCTAAACTTTTGAATGTGTGTTTGTCAGCCAACCACACAGCCAAGAACATGCTTTTTAAACGTTAGCTGTTTTCTTCCCCTAGCATAGTGAAGGGGAAAACTAAACTGTTTTCATCAGAAGTTCCATTCAACAGCATGAAAAACTACAAGTGACAGCTGTGCAGATTCAGTGGATGTGACGTTTTTGCATTTCTTCAGCTTGACAAGTAAACACCTTAAATCGGTAATGCTATATGCATAATACATGGTCTGTATTGTGACATCCATCATCAAATGCTGACTTGAGAAAATACGAGTTTGTACATCAAGGAATAGCACCCATAAAACAGGGAGAAATACAGGTCACACGGTATTAGCAGAACTGTATTTCATTACAGAACCTGCAACAAGCCAAAGTGTCCTTTTATTTTATCTTATTTAAAAATTCCATTTTCAGCTGTGAAAAGACTCGATTCCTTTGCATGAAGCCTTCATTTCGAAATGACAGGCTTGCTTCATAGGCCTCTTTCATTTTGCTTTCATATTCCATTTTCCCCTTCAGTCGCCAAGCCTGCTTCCATTAGCATCTGCAAACTGACAAACTATGGTGGGTGTCCAAAGACATCTCTCCATTAAAGGTCCTTCTCTCTCCTACGGGTGACCCCAAGGACAGGGTGCTTTTGTTGGCAAGAAAACTTCAGCAATTATAATGTCTCTTTTTCTTTTGATACTTTTGTAGCCACACATTATTAAAAGCAAAAAGAAAGACAAAAGAAATAGGCTTCGTCTTTTTTTCCTCCTCCTGTAGAGTTGTGTTAACGATGAAAGGAATTTATTAGTATGTTTTTTTCTTAGCGGTCCTAATATGGAAAGATTGTGGTTGAAAATGGCAGGACTGACCGGATTCCCTAAGTGACCTTGGAGAGGATAGAATTCAGGCACCTTACATCTGAAGGGATGAGGCAATGTGGCCTTTGATGCCACTTGATGCCATCTATACCATTCGTCCCAGCAGCACTTCATAAAGGGACAGGTCCAAATTGTGTCCAGGTTTCGGGTTGTCTTGTTCCCCACCCCATTACTGTTTGCTGCAGTGGACACATCTTTGATTGAACTTGAATTCTTTCTACACAAAACTGCACTCCAGTTCTGCATATGAAAACCTGGCCACCTGGAATATACTCTAGGGATCCTAAGCTACAACTAGAGAACAGCAAAACTGGGAAACACTCCCTTTATTAGCTCAACTAACACTCAGGAAATTAATTTTAGAAATGACCATTTCTTTTTTGCCAGAAGAGATAACTAAAAATGTTGGCATTAGAGAGAGAGGGAATGAAGAGTTCTCAATCAGGAAAAGATTCAAGTTTAATCACCTACAGCCCAAGCTCTTGCTGAGATGGACTCCCGATTCTTTAGATGTGTCCCTATTTGCTCTCTGTTGAGCGTGGACATGGGAGGCAAGCATTGGGCTAAAAATGAATTCCAAAGAGTACCTGATCTCCTTACATCGAAAGCCCCTCCTCCCCATTGCAATCCTCAGGGGCAGATGTGATGGGCTTACGTTATCTGTTCTATTCCTTTGACATCAGGCATAAACAGGCCCAACATTGCCCCCTGCCAAGCATGTTCACTCCATATGCTGTATGAGAACTTTAAGCCAGAGACCGGATTTTCCTTTTCTTTAAACTTCCCAGATTGTCTACAGAACGCTTGGCCCATAGAGAAGAAACAGAGTGGGATGTCTTAGGTTCAAACTCTAGCTCCTGCAGTAATTAGCCATGTAACTGTAAGCATAGTACAAACTTTCTCTAAGACCCTTGTTCTTTGTCTATGAACTGAAAATATCTCCTACCTAGGGTAGTTGTGAAGATAAAATCAAATAGTGTATTCAAAACATTCAGTACAATGCCTGGTATAAAGCAAATACTCAAAAACGTTGACTACCAATGTTATTTTACTAGGTACACAATAAGTATTTATGCTTAAAGCAACAGCATCCATCACCACCCCTCCCTATGGGTAAAGAACTGAGGTAGCTTTTGATAGATTTTTCTAAAAAGAACTTTTGCATAGAGAAAAATAATGGAAAATTAATAGGAAGGCAATGAGCAGTGTGGATATTTTTTGGTAGAAATAATCAGATCTATCCAGGGATAAAAAAAAATACAACCCAAAATATTTAAGGAAGTGGGATTTTAAATATGGACATAATTAAGATTTTCTTTATGTATGTGGAAAAACTGGTAGCTAGTCTTCATGTATGAAAGGTTTTCAATTCCTGTAGCAACTTCAGAATCTCTCTGGAGTCTTCTATTTTCCAGAGAAGACTCTGGAGACCTAGGCCTAATCTCCCTTAATTATTTAGGGGCATACACGTTCCTCTTTTATTTATCAGGCTCCTAAAATGGTTTTCACTACTTTCTACATTCTTTTCTAGCATTTGTGTTCTTGACCATATGTGTTACTGTTGGGTTCAGGTGAACAAAAGTAATAGCGTCGGATGTTCTTTTCATGATATTGGTTGTTCCAGGGGCTGGCAGCACTCAGCCTCTGCCAGGGAAGTTATGGAGGATTAAGTGACCCTTAGTTAAATTAGACAAGGGCATTTCAGTTAGGATGGCTTTGAATTAAAGATTTTAATATTGAGTTGTCAGAAAAGTCATGACACGTGTTTGCGACAGATGGCACTAGTTCATTTTTGGAAGTACTAGAGTCATCCGCATCTATGATATTGCTATGTCATTTGACAGCTGACAGCTCTAGCTTCATTCTAAAAAAAACTGAGTGATTTGGTTGAGTTTTTGGAG